TTCAGTGTCCATAAGTTGGCGATCATAGTCACCAGCTGCTTCTTATATCGTCAATTGGAAGTGGTGGCTGTGGGGCGCAGGCGATGCCGGATTATGTCTCCCAAATACCATCAACAATGTGCTTTGAGTGCCTCTGACGCTTGACGATTTACAGTTACCGTTTTCCGGTGCAGGATTCTAACAACAGCGGTACAGGGAGATGGATGGACAGACGGACAAATCACATCAAACGGGCGCATTACCTTATTTATCCAAATTCGTGTCCATCATGATTTTCATCCTTGGTTTTTTATGAAGACGCAAATCCTCCCCCCAAATAAAGCCTAATCTAAAATGCAGTAGATGAATGTACTCAGAGATGAAACTTCTCGTATGTACACGATCCGTTTTCCGGACTTTGGGGTTGACGACCCCTCGGTTGGCTAAAACTGTTATTTTCCTATGACAGTAAATGATTGTCCCTGGGACATTAACCGGGAATCCTGTTAAACCTGACCGTTAAAAATTGGTCAGTTCAGTAAAGAAGTTACGGAACATAATTACGGACAATTGCGATAAATGAATAATAACTGTTTGTTAATTGAGTACAGAAAGGTACAATCCACTTTCAGAAGGAGGATCGCGGTCCTACAAGGGTTTCCCGGGGTTAAACCGGTGACTGTGGTGGGAATTGTTTATTTTTATAAAGATTGAAGCAATTATTTCCCGAAGTAAAAAACATGAACAGCTGAAGAAGGTTTACACCATTCTGGCATTTCCCTGGTAACTGTGTAAGCGGAAGAGTAGTGAATCCGTACCTTGTTAGATTATCAATACCTGTGATAAACTATTGTGCATTACGTAGTCAGTTCCATCTGAGATGCAGCGAAATGCTTCCGGAATTAAGTCATGTAATATTGTGTTGCTCATAAAGATGATCGTACCATGATTTCTTTGTCACACAGTCTGAACTCAGACGTACATAAAGGTGTATCAGGAATTCTGATACACACAATAGTCAAATTCCTAAACGGCCCAAATCGATTTCTCAGTCTTACTCCTGGAAGCAAGCGCAGTTTTTTTAATCATTCGCGCAGATTTCTTCATAAATGGAACAAAAGTTTGATGAAGTATCTATTGGCCGTGTCAGTTACGTCAACTAGTTTGTCCCGAGGACGTCTCACTGCTCGCTACGTTGTGGTCTTCGCACTGTTCGATGCATGAGAACTCCTGATACCCCCTGTATATGTGTAAGAGGCCTACTGCAAATCGGTCAGTAGAAGTTTCCGGCCTTCAGACCTCTATCTTTGTCGTGTAGTGTTCATTGAACGGAGCAGTGTCTATAGGACCGATGAGAGCGAGCGATCAATTGGTTAACCGGCAGAAAGGTGATCAGTAGACTTCCAGCAGTGAGACACAGATTGACGAACGAAATAGGATTGTGGCATTGATCACCGTCACATGGATAAAAAGACATTAGTTCGGTGCTGAACTCCCGTTAGATGTGAGTACTTGGTCAAGTTTCGCACAATTCCATTCCGGGTCGCTGCCGGACTGTTTGCATTTGTATAGAATTTTGCGTGAACAGTTGTCCGCATTGCAGTTAAAAATTGCACATTTCATCAAAATGAGGTAGTCATGCAAGTAAAACATTTCACCTCCCCAAGGTTGCTGAGAAATACAGAAGAAACGCACTGCCGGTTTACAAGGATTCTGGTGAGATAGGGAACTGAACAATTTCTATGCAGGTTAATGCGACGGGATCATAAGCGATATGTAGAACACGTGGATGAATCAGAACAGCACTTGGATAGATCGCCATGCAAAGGATGAGTGTGGGGACAAGTGAATTGGACAGTTTTTAGATTAGTCATCAACGGACATAAAGAACAAACGACTGATGATTGAAAAACTTTGACAATGAATTTTGAATTCTTTCTCGAGTAAATCAGCACAATTTACCGGGGAACAATGAAGAAGAGCAGGAAAAACATTGATAAACAAAAAGGGAAACGATCTTTTGTTTGGTTTTGAACTGCCTAATTCTTCTTAGTTGAAAAGATAATCCACGAAGTTTCCGTACAGAGTTGTAAATATGGGATGTCCACTTTAAGTTTATCAATTATATCTCTTAAATACTTCACGGAATCTACTCTAGTTAGGAGATCTGTGTTTATGACCGAGGGGTCGCGAGGTTACATGGATCGACCGGGGGTGAAAGTACATTCGAAGCACTTGGATAAATTAAGGGACAATCCAGAAGGAACGGAAAATTCGTGAATATGCGATGGATTATTCGAGAAATTTACAAGGTCCTCAGGCACAGAAGTGGCTTGTGAAAGGGCTACGTCGTCCGCGTATTTAAACATTTGGGTTGGAGAACTCGCTAACAGGTCACTGGTGTAGGTGAAAAACAAGAACGGAGATGGTAGGGATCCCTGTAGCACTCCTGAATTGTTCACGAGCAATTTAGATGTTTTCGTACCGAGCTAAGTATGTTGAGTTTTGCTTGCGAAGTAGTCAACGAGCCACGCCAGTAGATGCCTGGAAAGGCCAAGCGATTCCATTTTACGAATCATTTGGCTGGTGTGACCTTGGTTTGACGTACGATCGATACGAACGCCTCTTGCCTAGTCTTCAACAGTGATACAGAGAGACAACACGGCCGGAGAACAACAGTTTATTGTATTGACGATGACGCGATGCGCAAATATAAGTGCACAAATTGGGCCTATTAGAACGATGTGATGACGCATGAAACTGATCGCAACGTTGACACTGATTGGTCTATCGTGCGACAGCGGTCTTATTCGTTCCGCAATCATCCAATCCGGAATCGATTCGCCTTGGGCGTCACGTGCGTACTTGTGTGACCCATATCCGTGCGCAGCCTGACGGGTTCTGTGCCCCCCCACCCGTCCTAACACAGACCAATCGTGATCTGTTGTTTTCGTAACCCCCTCCTACTTCAAAGAACACCACACACTGAAACCGTCCTCGTCTGATAACTTTCACCCTGTCTGCTCCATCTCATCCACGAAAACGCTTCCGTTAATGGGACTAACGCAAGTGTATAAGTTACAGTGACCCGGGGCATGCGTCATTGGAATGGCAGCATCCTCGGTATGCAGCGTTTTTTCCCAACCCAGCCAGTGGTTGAAAGAAGTCGAAGGATAAAAGTGGTCAATCTACATGACCCGACGTGAGGCTGCGCAAACCCCAACCACGAGACTCGGTCACGCGAATCGCCTTAGACGTCCCGGTTGGGGACCACGTGATCAGCCTAATGGATGATTAGAAACATTGAAATGTCGTGAACAGTGGCCCTCCTCTCTCTCTCTCTCTCTACTCACTGCCTGCGCACGTCTGGCCTATTCAGGTGCTTTATAGTATACTGCTTTATTTTTTGATGGACCGCAAATAGGTAAATCTGAAGAGATAGCAACCGAAACCGGACCACGAAACTGCAATTTCATCATCATTGTCAATCCATACTAGGCCAAATCTTGCTCGTGCAACATGGCGCTCTGAAGTGTGAGTTTCGACTCCCTTATCCAAAGTCTAGCGGTTCGAGTTCTGGCAGAGAGATGCCGGTGGGAAGAGACCATGTTGATGAAACCTGAACGCGACGAAATAGTTTTCCAATGATTTTTCTCGCCTATCACCATATGAATGTAGCTGAATTTCAACGAACTCCACCCAATGACCCTGGTATGTATGTTTGTGTCTATGGATTCGTGTGGACAATAAAAAACTAAATCTTGCTCAATCGTAGTAACTCTTATTGATGTAATAACTATCCCCCTCCCCTAACAGAATACCCGGTCATATTTCTCGGTAACACAACCACTTATCTCTGTGTTCCAGATGCGTTCACAAAATGGTCATGTGATGAGCGATATTGTTATTTTGTATTTCTCCTTCTATCTTTAATTTATTCAAGTTCTCCTCATTTGTGTAATGCGTATACCGATCACTCAGTATCTCAGCACTGCGGTATCTGATCTATTTACCTGACACCCTAACCTAACCTCACTTTCTGTCTGTTTGTATTCCGTCATACTTTCTTTTTGTTATCCCCGGGCGAATTGTGCTATTTCGCTGTGGACACGTGATCACGAACACNGTTTTTTTTAATAACCCGAAGCGCGCTCGTTAAATCCTTTCATAACGGATCCCTTGATGGAATGTATTATGCATTCATCTCGGAATGGAATGCTGGTAACCCCGTGTTCCCCTCAATTTCACTCTCCGCCAAAGGTGTTTGTGGTAATCTGAAGATTCTGAGCGAAATAAAACCGTTGTGGTTTTAAGCGTTTCGAAAACAAATCGGTGCTGATTACACTTATCGGGACTTCTATTCTGCGATGCCGGAACAGTTGCTTCGAATACGATCATGTGCTAGTTCCACATGCCGCTGGCTTAGTGTTCACGTCCGCTGTGGACAGAATGTCAGACTGTTCGATGTCTATATTGCCAACGTCCCTTGTCATTCATCCATCCAATGACACCTCAACCGCTTATGTTTCATGTGTCAGATTTGAGGTTGAACAGTTTTTTTATGCATCCGTGCACAAGATCCTCCGATCCTTCAAGTTTCCTTAGGCTCTCGGGTTTGATAGGCTCGATCTTGCTTTCCTCATGTACAACACTGGATCTCTCACGAGAACAGTGGCTTCTCCTGCGAACGAATACATAGGCATTTGCTCAATCTCTTCTCTCTCTCCTTTTGCAGATAAGTCGCCTTTATTTCCGTCTCAAAGAGCTCCGAATTCGGTATTATAACGACACGTTACCGTCCAATAACCTCGACTTCCACCCTTCTTAGTACTTGAACACCCGAGAAAGTACCCGTCCGGGAAAATTCAGTGCATAGCCAAACCAATCATAATCCCACACTGCACCGGTCTTCTCGCGGGGTTGCATATATATATTCAAGAGAGAATGGGGCGTAACTGAGTTGTAAAATGCTTATTGTAACGTTCCGATCTACTCTAGGACTCGTTGCCAAACGTAAAAAAATGAATGAGGTAATAGGATTACCTTCTTTCTGTGCAACCGTTTTCTGGCTGTGCATCTCTAAGTCCCCCACTCGACATGGGTGTTACGAGTTCAGTTGAGTTCAGTTTGTACAACCATTAACCATGCACTATCGTGCGCCGGTTTTGGTTGCTGTCTTTTGGCTGCCCATTTGGTGTTACGAGTGCAACGTAATGTTTGTCTGTCTCGTCGTGTCGGTTGAACGAATTGACCCAGCATAGAGCTTCAATAAATAATCGTTCCCTCTTCTTCGTAGCGTTATCGATCGCGATCCCATGACCTGTCCGTGAGCAGTGGTTCCACATTTGCAATCTATCGTGGTCGGTTTGCCGTAAACTGTAGTCTCTATTTATCCGTCAGGTTGCCTCATGAGAAGGTTATATCGAGGAAGGAGAGTTGTCCATCTTTCTCTTCATCTCATACGAGGTTGATCCCCGGCACCTGCTCATTGATCATGTGGTGGAACTGATCTACCGTGGAAGCTCTAACTATGACGAATCTGTCGTCCACATATCGTATCCGCAGACGAGGTTGTAGAATTTCAAAAGCTTTGGCTTCGAAGTGCTTCATGACTGCATCCGAAAGCAGGCGCAAGAGTGGCAAACCCATAAGAGTTCCTCGTGTCTGCTGCCATACCTTCCAATCAAATAGGAGGTAGGTTTCCATACAGTTTCACTAGTTCGTCCGCCGATAGCGTCGTTCTTGACCACAAATCTTGATCGTTTTGCATTAAGCGTCGAATGATTTCGATGGCCGTTTGTTTTGATATGTTGGTAAACAGTGAGGCCACGTCGAAGGAGAAAATCACTTCATCTGATTCGATCGTCTGTCCTTTGATTTGTTCCAGGAATGTCGTGGGACTTTTATCGGTTTGGTTCGCAGGTAAGGATGGGCGTAGTAGCTGGAATAGGTACCTTGCGAGATTGTAGTTGAATGCTGTTGTGGATGCGACAATGGGTCGTAGTGGTATAGAGGGCTTGTGCACCTTCGGTAGTCCATAGAACCGTGGTATCGGACCTTCTGTGGGTTTGAATCGTCTATGTTTTTCATCTGTGAATTTTTTGTGTTTTCCTGAGTATGGAAAAGGTTTTTGTTAGTTGATCCTTCAGCTACTTCACGGGATTTCCGTTGACTGGTCGATACGGTGCTTCGTCTTCGATGAGTTGTTTCATCTTTTCTGTGTATTCTCCTTTGTACAACAGTGCAATTGCATTGCCTATATCTGCTGGAAGGCTTACAATGTCGCAGTCCTTTCTCAGTGATTTCAATGCTTTCATTTCGACATCGGGGATCAACTGAAACTGTTTGGGTTGGATGAGCTGTTGGCATATTTCGATCCTAATGTACACTTTCCACAGATGCGATGAAATCAGTCTGTTTGACATCGGGGCTGGTTGCATGGCTGATTCTTTGGATGTTAGTTGGTATTTCGAGAGGTTGTGAATCGATCCAAAATATCCGGACTATGTTACCCTTAAGCGGTTTAATCTCATTCAGGTTTTGGGAATCTTTTGTGATTGATGTCTCTTCTATAACGTTGTTTATTATTTCGATCCAATCCGTATCCAACACTTTGCTTGCTTCGCTTCTGAAATGCTCACCTTGATTGTCGTATACGGATATATATATGTATATTTTTAGGAAGGGGGAAGCGGCCAATCAAAGGGCTGCCGTGCAACACACACAAATGGGAAAAGTTCAGCGGTGTTGGTAAGGGATTCGAACACATCCTCTCGGGTGTGACAATGTGGTGATATTACCACCAAGCCACCACCGCTCCATTCAAATCGTAATTTTCTATGATTCGAGTCTTTCGTATTCATTCATCAATCTGCAACCTGGTTAGAACACCTCTGTCTGATATAAAGAAAAAATATTCACGAGTCACGGCCAGTTAGAGAGAATCATGGTCTGATCCAAGTTCGATCTGTTACACGCGGTAATTTACATGCTCATCCTTATTGTTATAATCCCGAGTGTTAAAACACATCTTCAATTGGGTTTGGGTTAACCGAGTTTTAGGAGCCCCAAAAAGACACGCCGACCTGTTTGCAAATTGCAAACGGAATGGTGCACGTTCATTTGGTCAATACCCCGAGCAAAACAGGCGTTACCCCGGGTTAGTTGAGGTCACTAGACTATGATTGTATGTGAGGTCGCGTTTCTTACTGTCTAATCGGTTGGGCAGAAATCGAGTTCATTTCATCATCCATCTGTCCCTCACTCTCTTGTGGACTGTACATACTGTCGATTACCATTGTTTCACAACCGATGACTAATCTGGCCTGTTTTCGATCTTACTTCCTCTTGTTTTGTGCCGCCTGCCTGCATAGACGTATATATATATATATAAGAGAGAATGGAGGCGTACACTGAGTTGTAAAGTGTTTATTGTAACGTTTCGATCCAAACTAGGGCTCGCTGTCAAACGTAAACGAAATGAGTGGTATAATGGGATTACCGTCTTTCCGTGCGCCTCTGTGCTGTTTGTACGTCTATCAGTCCACCAATTATCACGGGTTTTGCGAGTGTGACGTGATGTTTGTCTATCTCGGCGTGTCGGTTGAACGAATTGACCGAGTGCAGAGCTTCGAGGATTAATCGTTCCCCCTTCTTAGCTCGCGCCACAACCTTTGCGTTATCGATTGCGATCTCGTGACCTGTCCGTGCGCAGTGGTTCCAGATTTGTGACCTCGGGTCAG